CCGCCGGGGTGCAGCGTAGGGGCGCCGCCGGCGTGCAGAGTAGGGGCGCCGCCGGGGTGCAGCGTAGGGGCGCCGCCGGCGTGCAGAGTAGGGGCGCCGCTGGGCAAATGGGAGCCACTTCTCCAGCCTGTCAGATAAGGTGGCGGCTGTCCTTTCCTCGCCACCCCAGAAGTGTGAACTTCGCACATCTCCATGAAGTGATTGATAAAAGCAGGCTGGTGTTTTATCGTTTGTGTAATTGCTTAATGGTAGAGGAACGGGCCAAACAGCCTAATGAAATTGATTGCATGTGTTGTCTGTGGTTGGAGCAGATTTATGAGAGGAACAAGGGAGTTAATTGCTCCCCCCCCCAAGCTCCGTAGGAGTGTGGTGGTATTTTTCTTTGTGGTTCCCACTGTTGAGTATTTAAGCCGCGAGTGTTTAGTGCATGCGACACATAATCAGGTGTGTCCTGGAGGGGGGGGGTCATGGGTTCATGCTCTCTGGCTGGTTCCACATCTACTTGTGGCTGGAGTGATGTTAGCAGCAGATATGATGATACTCGTCTGGAGGACTGATGGACTCTGCCTGCCATCGGCTGTCGTGCCACTTTAATGTAGCGGGGGAGTCTGACACAGGAAATGGCCCCTATCGAATGGGGGGGGGGTTTCTCATTTCCTCCCAGGCTCCTAGCCAATCAAAATCATTGATCCTCCACTTCCAATCAATCATTGGCACCCCTCTTCTTGTGAAGCCCCCCCATTAGGCTTAGATTGGCTCAGGGGGTGTCAGTACGTGGCTGATTTACCACTCAAGTGTCTCGCTGTGGCTTCACTTCCTGTCGGCTGGGGTGGTGATGGCAAGCAGAGGCTGGTCCTCGCGGAGGGTAGCAGATGTGTTTGATGTCGCAGCAGCTGTGCGTGGACAGTGATCGATGTTGGAAATTATCAGCACTGACTCCATCTTCCCAAAACCGTCCAGCAGGTTAACGCTGTAACACCTACAGACGAATGACCAGCAGGCTAACGCTGTAACACCTACAGACGAATGACCAGCAGGCTAACGCTGTAACACCTACAGACGGATGACCAGCAGGTTAAGGCTGCAACACCTACTGATGAATGACTAGCTGGTCAACGCTGTAGAAACTAATAACAGACGAGCTGCTGGTTAATTTACGCTGATGCCGCAAGCAGCTCAGTCTCTGATTGATTAAAAGTGTCACGTGTCCTGATTGCTGACGTTTACCGCTCCCCGCCTGCCGTGGCATCTCCAGCCTCATCTCTCATCCAGAGGAGACCTTCTCACTGTCCGTTTGTGGTACTCCATGTTTACGGGGAAGACCACTTAGGGCTTTTCAGCAGCTTGCCCCCTCCTGCCTAAATACCCCCTGCCCCCATCCCTGGTTATGATGCCAAGCCTCATCGTCTCGGTGGCTGCTGGGGGGAGGCTCTGCTGGCCTGCCGGCAGGGCTGACAGGTTGAAGGGCGATTTGGGGAGAGCGGGGTGTCAGGGCACTGTTGAGGACTGGGCTGTTCAATTGGGCTTCAACTGATTCCTCTGCATGTCAGAAACCAACAACTTAATAAGCAGAAAGTGTGCAGAAGATTGCCCCCCCCCCCAAAACTGCTCTTTCCCGTCTTTTGCCTTAGTTCCTGTGAAAACGGCCGGCGAGGTCTCGACTCCTGTGCCTACACTTTGTGTGAGTATAATTTTGAGTTTTTGTTAATAAGCCTCTTTCCCAGCCTGGGCTGTCTCTGATGGGCAGACGGCATTTCTCAGTTTCTGTCAGACGCTCGGAGGACCTGGAGCAGAACCAAAGGTCTGCAGCCCTGACAGGTTGAGATGTTCCAGTGTCTCTGAAGCCTTCAGCTGGCCCTCGAAACATCACGTAACTTTGGCTTTAATAGCATGTCGGCCTCTGTAACGGGCTGCGTTTATGGCTCCCGAGGTTCTATCCACGAACCGGGTCGGCGGGGGGCGTTTTCGCCAGTCCTGATAACGCTTTCGCACCTCCCTTGACAAAACGCCTTCGCCCACCACCGACGCCTCTGGCTCGTGTGGTCCTCTGAACCGTGGAAAATGAGCAATGGACGACCTCTGCTGTAGATGCTGATCCGGACTTGTAGACCCTCCAGGGCCACTGTGCTCTGTGGACCGGCCGGGACGGACCATTTCCATGCCATGAGGATGGCTTGACTGGCAGTCTCCTCTGTCCTTCTCCTCCCGGCTACCGTCTGCCATGGTGAGGGACGTTTTCATGTGGGTCCATAGCGAGTAAATGACTGTGAGGCGATCACTGCGATGTCCGTGCAGTGGGGGGGGGGGGGGGGGGGGTGCATGCGATTGGCTCCATGCTTCGATTGCTTCGTCACACCTGACATGGGTTGATTATACTGCCTGCATATGAAGAAAGCCTGTAATTTCTCACCCATTTGTGGACGGCTTCCCACGTCAGGTTGCCCTTGGATTTCCAAACTGTTGTCGAAAACCTTTTAAGAAGCAATTTATAAACAGCGAACAAACGATTTGTGGGCTTTGGCTGATTTTGCAGGATGTCAAAACCCAATGACTTAATAAGCAGATAGAAAGTTGTGCCACACATTTCCCTCTCAAGGTTTTGTTGTGGACTTTGTGACATACAAACATTGGCTCAACCAGACATTGTAAAGGGTCATTTTCAAAACCTGCTTCAGGTTTTACTAATTTTAAGTACTTCGTTCCTTGTGGATAGTGAAATGCTTGGTGGAGTGAATAATGACTCCAACAGAGAGATATTCCTTCCTTTTCTGGTTCTTTTCTTTTTGTTATCTTCCCATTTTATGAATGTTTTCTCTGTCTGCAAGCTTATTTTCTTCACTTTCCCATGTCTTTCCTGCTTCCCAGGTCTTTCTTTCCAGTTTTCCATCTGTTTCCTTTCCTGTTTCCAATATATTTCCTTCCTCCTTTCCTTCCAATATATTTCCTTCCAGGTATTTCCTTCCTGCTTTCCTTCCAGTTTTCCCTGTTTCCTTCCTATTTCCCATATATTTTCTTCCTGCTTCCCAGGTCATTCCTTCCTGTTTCCCATGTGTTTCCTTCCTGTTTTCCCTGTTTCCTTTCTGTTTCCCTTATATTTCCTTCCTGCTTTCCTAGGTCCTAGACCTAGACTTTCCTTCCTGTTTCCTAGGGCTTTTCTTGCTGCTTCCCCCAGTTTTTCCTGTTATCCTGCTTTTTTCAGGCTAACACCTGTCTCCTCTTGTTCTCAGGGTGCCCCCAAGCCCATTGCCACAGAGCCCTGCTCGGGGGGCAAAGCGGCCGTGCTCACCGTCTTTATGTGCCTCCCCCGTGGGCCCACAGGCGTGCCCCCACCCGGCCAATCTGGTGAGTGCCTCGCTCTTGCGTGTGTGTATGTACACTACATAGAAAGACATGCACACACACGTGTGGCTGAGAAACACAAATAGACATGGAGGCACACACACACACATTCTCAGAGATGGCTGCACTATCCTCGTGCACAGGCACCCTGATTAGAGCAGAGCAGGACAGAGAGGCAGCTGAAAGGGCAGGAAGGAGAGTGTGGCGTCAAGGCAGGTCAGCGAGGTCCAGCAGCTGCCGGCAGTCTGGAGCTCCGCGGTTTGGATCACGGGTCCCTAACTGGGAGCTTGTGTCTTTAAGACTCCAGGAGGTGGTCAGTATTTAACCTGATTTTGCTCTAGTGAAACATCCTTTGTATTGACACAGTGAATTAAAGGTGATTGCTGTCATGGCTGCTGGAACACCATGGTTTTCAGCTTGTCTCTGGGAGCTCGTCGCCTCAGCCGCCTTCGCTACGCCCGGCCCACATGCCTGTGAGCTGCCTCTGTTTTCTGCTTTTATGAATTAATAATGCTGACGGAAGAAACGCAGATTTGCTGTTCCAAGCTCAAACTCCATTATCGCTGACTTCTCTCTGGAAGAATGACACCGGTCTGCAGTTTCTGGAGCCCAAAAGCTTTGTGGAACTTCAAAAACGGGGGCTGCTGTTGATGAGGTTGAAGAAGCCCCCCAGGGTGTGAGCCAGTCACACTCCTCCTGAGCTTCTACATGCTGCTGATAGTGTTTGGCCAGAGGGCTTCATGGGCCTGCTTCCTGTGTCTGAGAGGTCGGCCAGGCT